CCCCAAAACCCCAAAACCCCAAAACCCCTATGACTAGATAAAGCTTTGAATTTGAGTATTTATAAATATTAAATTAATAATCATGGATCGTACATTGAACATCAGCACTTCAGATAATAGTGTATCTAGTGGATCTTCTAGTAAGAGCCCAAAACTGATGCTCCACTTTAAAAACAAGCCTTGCCTCAAAAGAAGAGGAAGAACCAAATTTTCTCTGAACATTGCAAATAAAAGAGTAGGTCAATAGTGACAGTTTTTATAATGGCCTCTATGTTCGCTGGCACAACCAATGAATGTTAGTATTTCTGATTGAGATGAAAAATCATTTGTTTTGCAGTTCACAAAGTTTGCTTGTAATTTCATATCTCTTTTTCGGTGGATTATCAAGATTGCTAAAGAACAATATTAATAGTATTTTTATAGTTGTTTTCAAATATAAAACTCAGACAAGTTAATACGAGCATGAAAACAGCAAAGAAAGTTAATAAAGTAAAGAGTCCTAAGAATCTAAACCAAAAGTTCAGACCAAGAAGAAGAGTTCTCTCAGTTAACTCACTTTCTGTTAGGAATGCTGAGGAGGAGTCATTTGATGCTTTGGCTTCTGCTCACCAGAAAATGATTTTCAAATGTAAAGAGAGACTTCAGATGAGCAGATATCAAAATGGAAGATTTTTCTCTCCTCATAAACTTACCCAGAAAGCAATTATCGTCAGTTATAACAACAAGAGAGATGATAGAAGACCCTCTGATTTTTCATTAAACCAGGATAAACTTCCTCAAATCCGGTGTTTGAGTCCCTAACTGACTTATACTATAATTCTAAATAACTTTGAACAGATTACGGATTTCCCTTCATAAAATTGTAATTCTTCAAAAATTTAATTGCTACCTCCCAAATCCATTACATTTAGTTAGTCTTCACATATAACGGGAATTAGTATTATCTCGGTGAACCTTTTCATAAGAATTCTTTGGTGTCCGAATACTCAGAGAGGCATATCACAACTCTGATCTCTGTATATAGAGGTAAAATAGTCGCAGCCTGCATTCTTGAAACTTGTTTTAAGCATGTAAACCATTTTCATATGTGAGAGGTTGGGAAAAAATTTGGTACGATTAAGCTTTAAAATTAGTTTCACCTACTTCACCAAATTGTAGAACCCTATTCTTGTAATAATTTTGCTTCTCTTTGCATTAATTTGGATTCTTTATTCAGAGCTTCTCTTTCTGGCCTGAAATATTTGAGATTCGGCAGATATTTAGACAAACTGACCATAACTAATGGGGTTGATAAGTACTGGTATTTAGGAAAATAAGCATTTTATAGTCTCTTTTAGCTATAGCAATCCTTGGCTGCCTATGCTGTACTATTTCAAATATGAACTTTGATGCTGTTAGTAAGTTATAGAAGAAAATGAAACAGATTTGACAATTTATCATCTACCATAAAACTTTATACAACTTTTAGTAGATATTTTAATAGGATAAATATTAATATGACTGCTCTTTCTTTGAGAGAGTTTTTAAATGTTTACATAATTTTTATGCACTCAATCGTTATAATTCTGATGAATATGGCCCTAATATCTCTCATTATACTCGATAAATAGTCTTGGAGATTTCTAGTGCTCCTTCTAGAGCTTTTACGAATTTTAAAAACATTAGAGGTACTCCTTAGTTGTTCTGACTTTACCTTAAAAATAATTTTTAGTACTAATAAGGTAGATCAATTTGGGAAAGTGTCCATTTAGGGCTCTGAAGAGACTCAATAACTGGCATTGGGATTACTGTCATATCTCTTTGACTTGGATCTAGAAAAAGTCATAAATTTCTGGTTTTCAAGTCCACCATTTGTTCAATTTATAGTAAATTATAGTTATGAGATGGGACATCTTATTGAGTAAACCAGGAAACTCCTTGTCTTACGAGTTAGAGTGAACAATAAGTTATAAGCATGTTATTAATCAGAGAAATTCTTTCAGCAAGTTTCTTACGTTCATATCAATATTTTATCTCAAGCCTAGTTTACAAAGCTCATGAATAATCTTGCATTAATTTAAGTCAACTTGGTTTAATATTAGATAATATTTTAAGTTAGAGAGCTGTGAAACGAGAAGTCCGTTTCATACAGTTTTGAAAATTGATAACAGGTAAAAATTAAAATTCTTATCATAAATTGGGTAAGTTTGCTCATATCTTAACCTCTAATGATCCTAAAAGAAAACACGCTCGTTGGAACTATTTTTCAAGACGATGCCAGAAATTGAAGAAGTTCAAATAAAGCTTAGATTATAAAAACAAATTTAAATACTTACTACCAAATAGCTTGAGCAACCAACAGAGCTTCTCTATCTCTATTTCACTTTTAACTTACTTATATAACCCAAAAAACTTTATATTTTCTTATCAAAAAGTTTAACAGAAAGTAAGAATGCAGAGACTGCAAAGAGAGTCCTACTAGGTAAAAACTTAGTAAAATTTTCCAAAACCTGCTGATACACCTCATCTATAGTTAAAATACTAAATTTCAACTGCTAAGCTAACCATTCATGAAGGCCGAATGACAATACTCCATACTTTGTTTTCTAAGTTTAAATGTTCCATAAAGTGAGTACTTGACTATGAGGATTATAATAAAACATTCAATTAGTGATACTCCAAAAGGGGTTTTGGGGTTTTGGGGTTTTGGGGTTTTGGGGTTTTGGGG